AGGGCAAGTTTGTATCCAAATGTGGGTGTTAAAGAAGGATGGGGTAGGGGAAAGGCGGAGGATTGGAAGTGACCGGCTCTGGAGAAAATTCAAGCCAGCGAGGAAGAGCTGAATAAAATTCCTGCCATGTCATTTTTCTCCCAAGTAATGACCTGAGTAAAATTCAATATGACCGAGCGAACTATGTGAGCGTATTATAGAAACGGCCTGCTAGTGGGAGAGGCCGGGAGAGGGGTGAAACGTAGGTCACGGCGTCTAACAGATATTAAAATGTTCAGGAGACTCGTGACACGCCTAGCTGTTTAACAAAGACTGCCAAAGTATGAGATTAATACGAAAACTTGAGGCTTCAAAAACAAAACACACCCAAAAAAAGTCCTATTCTAGCCTCGGAGGGGGCCTGGGACTGACTGGTTCTCCTCACAGCCGCGGTTCCGTCCGCCTCTCCCACAATAGTGGAAAAGGAGAGCTTATCTTATCGAGAAAAGCGAAGGGAGGACCTAACCCGACAGCTGTGAGTATTCCTGACTCCCTTTTCAGTCTTTCTTCTGCCCCCTCCCCTCCGATCCCCTCTCTTTGCCTCTCCCTCCAAGCTGAGCTGAGCTGTGGAGGGATGTTGGAGCAGTTGCGCAGGGGTGGAATGGCTCGCGCCGCTTAGCCCCCTTCTCCAGTTGACATAAGGTACATCTGCGGGAGGAGGCGGCGAAGCGGGAGAGAGGTCACGCTCTCAACCTGTGGCTTTCGGAGAGAGGTGCAAGAAGAGAAGCGCGAGGATACGCGCTCAGAGACGGAGGGAGATGGACACTGGCCCTTTAATAACATCAATAAGTATTTTCTGGAGTGAACCGATATCTCAGACGAAATAGATTCTAAAAGTTACTTTCTTTCCTTCTTTCCTGCGTCTTTGGATTGTGCATGCAGGTCAAGGAGTGTGAGGGAAGAATCATCTTGGCAGGTGTCTAGTCCTAGGAGGGAGTACATCAGGCTTAACGGGCTTCATGGCCAGGCCCTAAGTTCCCTTCACCCCACTCGGTTTTTTTTTTCCTTACTGTGCGGTTGTCATGACCAAAAAGCGGAGGTTGAGTCTCACTCCCTATGCTCCCTGGAGTGAAACCTGAGGGGATGCAATCTCCCTCGCTCCCCCAGCCGGTTCCCCTTTTGAAATGGAAAACGGTAGAGATAGCCCAGCTGCAGATCAGTCTTCCTAAACTTCCGAAATGCCGACGGGTTTATGAGCAAAGGGCCTAGTTGAAAAGGAAAGGAGATATGGGGTGTGGGGAATGGACCGGAGAAGGTGAGGAGTGAGGACCAGGACTGATGGGGGCCTTGGAGACCAGTACAAGACAGAGCATAGCTTCTCACAAGACTTCGAAAGGTCCATGCTAGACGCTAGGGGTGCTGGAGATGTTCCTATCATTTTCCTTTTGTCTGCTGTCCAGAATAAACTCAAATATCCCTGCATCTTCCGGAGCAAATTGTTACCTAAATAATCTGAGTTTGAAAAAAGCAATAACAATCACTACCTTTGTAGCCATTGGTGTTAAATGGGTCTAAGGAAAAGCATTAAATAATGTTCCTTCGAGCTATAATGCTGTCACATGGGAAAGAAAGGGACAAGAGAATTGTAAACTCTTGGATTTGAAATTAGGTATCTAAAATGAGAGAGAGAGAGGGGTGAGCAATTCCAATCCTGTCTTATCTGAGTCTCCCAGTATCCCAAGTCAGAGGCTTTGGCCTTCTGAAAACACAGCAGTTCTCTGAGTATTTATTAAGGAGGGGTATTATTGTTGTTATTGTTGCTGTCCTCATTTGGAGAAAACAACATTTTTCCAGGCTCGGGGACTGTGTAGAGAATGTAGTGTTATAATATGGACATTTTAGGCAATGAAGAGGGCTTCCAGTCACCCTCCAAATTCCCCATGCCTAGTAAAGATCTACAGGGAGATTGGAGAATAAATCACCTGGGAGATAGGGGTGGAAAATAGTATTAAATTCGCTCTAATGCATTGATTCTTAACTGTATCATGTGCTCTTTGGCAGTCTGCTGAGACCAATGGACCACCTTACAGAATAATGTTTTTAAACAATTGAAGGAAATAATAAATTCTAGTTAGAAGTTAGTGAAAATAAAGATGTATATTTTCCCCATCCAAGTTCACATACCCTCTGAAATCTAGCCATTCATTCTTTGGGGATTTGTAGACCCCAGGTTTAGAACCTCATCTCTAATTAAACTCAGTCCCCTGAATCTCTTCACTTGAGAGCCTATCCTCTTAGCAGAGTTTGGGAGAGGGTTAAAGACAATTTGCAGATCATTTCAATACCTGCTCTATTCTCTCCCTATTTCTTTCCCTCTGCTGGACCTCTTTTTTGCCAAGCAGCCAGGTGACTTGAATGCAAGGCAGTTTAGACATCAGTGACTGGATTGGGTAGGAGCCTGGAGCTGGGAAGTCAGAGACTTCTCTCTCTCCTCATAGAATATTCTCTCTCTTTACTCAGTTCTCTTCCAAATAGAGAAGGGTAGGGGTTACTGCATCATCTGGCTGAATATTTTATTGTTTTACATCGCCCCTCGTTCGGAAATGGAACGCCTTTGATCTTTTTCTCAGGTTGTAAACAGAATTGCCCATCATTAAATACCCGCGGCCCCATCTGCTTCACCTCCTTGCCTTTTTCTTTACAGCTGTTTCTTTTTTTTTACAATAGACTTTTTTTTAAAGGACTTTAATGACACCCTCTCCCCTTCCACTCTGTCGCTCCTTAGTTCCTCTTCTTTCCTCTGAGAAGCACCAGAGAAAATAACTATCGAGTATTCGTTCGTTTGAGAGCTGCAGGATGAAATGGGAGAAGGGAGCCCTAGTTGTTCTGTGTGCAGGGGTTGGTGTTTTGGGTTGTTTTTTTTTTTTTTTTGTCTTCTGTTTTTCTTTTTTGAAATAAAAAGTCCTTTGGGGACGGGGGACGAGAGGGAGGGAAGCCAAAGGGGACAAATTTTGGCTTTTGCTCCTCAGCCTTTGGGTGACCCTTCCTTCTTTTGTACTTAGCCAATCTTTATGTCTCATAATTCATGCGCCTGGTTGTTGAACAGTTTACGGTCTTAGCTCGCGCGAATTTTCGGAATCAGCCGCATCTATTTCCAGGGGTTGGAAGAAGAGTGACACCCCATAATACAGGCTAAGCGAACCGCCCCGCCGAGTCCTCACGGAGCTCTGCTCTGTCCTCAACTCTCATAGAAACAGGCAAAAAGCCAAACCAAACCAGACCAATCGCTATCCCCGCCCCCCCCCCGCAAAAAAACCCAAAACAAAACAAAACAAAAAAACAAAAAACGAAGACTGTTCTCAGAATAAACGAACTGAAGGATTTCTATGCCAAGAAGATCTCTCTGTCTTCTGTATATACCCTGTAGATCCGAATTTGTGTAAGGAATTTTGTGGTCACAAATTCGTATCTAGGGGAATATGTAGTTGACATAAACACTCCGCTTTTTTTTCCCAGAAGAGCAAATAAAAATTCTAGAATAAAGAGGATCCAGTGATGTTACCAGAATGGCGCTCTTTTTCTATAAGTCCTGAGTACCTATGTCTCTATCTTTCTCGCTCTCTCTCTTTCCTTATTGGAGGAGGTTTTTATCTACCTGAGATCTCAGCTCCTTGCCCTAGGGAACCCACACAGCCTGGCTTCTTCCCTCTTTTTTTTTTACCTCTTTCTAGCTTTCTCAGGAGACCACAGTTAAAAAGAACTCTCTCTTCCCCCACCTCACACACACCTATATATTATATATATGAATGGGGGGGCAGCACCAGGGATAAAAATTACCAAACGACTGAGGCTGTTGACTTGGAAAAGGAAAGAAACGGGAGCCGGTCTCCTCGATATGTATTTATATCTAAAGGGAGCTTGGGATGGGAAAGTAAGTGTCTCTTCAACTTTCAGCTCAGAACGAGATGCTGCTATTTAAACACAATTGATGTAAACAATTATAAAAGACGAGGGGGGGAGTGTTACCCTTTGGGCGTCAACAGACCAAGTCAGACGCAATATTAGCATTCCTGTCCACACTATTGCTAGTCCTAAATCAGTACTTCTCCGAGAGACTGTTAGTACTTCTCAGATGTAGATGTTATTAACAAATTATTGCTTGTTTAATGCTCAAAGGTCCTAATTTTCATAATCAGTTCCCCTCTTCTCTTTCCCAAAAGAAGGGAGCTTCTTAATTCTGGAGTAAGGTGGGGGAGTGAGGGGTGGGAGGAGTGGGAGGAGTGGGGGTAGAGGGACACACTGACAAGATCAGCTTAATAGAGCAGCTAAATGTGATTTGGAAGGCGAGGTATCCCCGAATTAGTGGATGAATTTCCTATCGATCCGCAACCGATTCAATTCATCTCTGCCAACGCCCTCAGCACACCCGGGTTGCTTCGACGCCTTGTCTCTCCACCATCACCACCACCCCTTTCCCACACCCCCTGGAAAAAGAAGAGAACTCAGCCGGAGAGACACCTTCCCAATTCTCTTCCCTACCTCCTTACTGAATTGCCCTCTCTAGGAAGAATCTAGCCCACTCCCCCATTTTTCTTCTTGAGATGTCAGCTTTGGGGGTGGGAGTCAACAAATCCCTCCTGTTCCTTAAGGTGAAAGACAATTTGGGAGGATGATGAGGGTAGAGACAGAACCCTCCACCTTAGAGGGGAAGCTTCAATGGGGGGGTACTCCCTTCATCACCCCCAAATTCTCCCTGTTTGCACCCAGTCCCTCAGGGACCCTGAAGAAGGAGAGAAAGAAGGGGAGGAGGTCGCATACACATTGGCCCTATGTAAATACTGGTGATGGAGGTGAGGGGGGAGAGCAGAAGGGGGGAGAAAAAACCCTCTCTGTGTTGCAGCTCTTTGGCTAGAGTAGGGTCCGGGTGAACAGATTTCCTTATCCGGGAATCGCCGCCGGAGCGGCTATTGGCTCGGGGGATCACGTGGCCCCCTAACTTAGTTCACTTGACAGTAAGTAGGTGGGCTTTCGGAAACAGGAAAACGAGTCAGGGATCGGAATAAATTTTAGTATATTTTGTGGGCAATTCCCAGAAATTAATGGCTATGAGTTCTTTTTTGATCAACTCCAACTATGTGGATCCCAAGTTCCCTCCCTGCGAGGAATATTCACAGAGCGATTACCTACCCAGCAACCACTCGCCCGGGTACTACGGCAGCGGCCAGAGGCGAGAGAGCAGCTTCCAGCACGAGGCGGGGTACGGGCGGCGGGCGGCTTGCACCGTGCAGACCTATGCGTCCTGTCAAGAGCCCGGCCACCCGCCGCCGACGGTGCTGTCCCAGAGGGCTCCAGTCCAGCCGCAGGCAGGGTCCCTTCTCCCTGAGCCGGGCCAGCGCTGCGAGGCGGTCAGCCCCAGCCCCCCGCCACCGCCCTGTGGTCAAAACCCTCTCCACCCCAGCCCATCCCACTCCTCTTGCAAAGAGCCCGTAGTCTATCCCTGGATGCGGAAAGTTCACGTGAGCACCGGTAAGTGACTGAAATGCACTTTCCTTTCCACACCCCCCTTTTCTTCCCCCCCAACACTTTATACTGAGCTTTATACTGAAGGGAACCTCCAAGTCGTAGGGAGGGGGAGAAGAAGGGGGAAAACCAATTGCCCCCGTTGTAAAATCGCCATTCCGGGAGATTTACTGTCGCCTATTTTCAAAGCCATATAATTACATCCCCCATAAATTTTTATGGCCTGCTTGGCCCCGCGCCTTTGAAGTCAGTTCCTCATCCTCTGCGCGATTCTCACCAGCGACTTTTTCTCCCGGGAGGAGCAGCTTTAAGTGAAGTCTGATGTCGGGGGTGGGGGCTATGGGTAGGAGGAAGGGGGGGGACCCAGTAATTTGTATTTAAGTAGTGGGTTGAGTCAACTCGGTGTATTTATTTTTCCCTTTCCTCTCCTCGCTTCCCGTCTCCTTGGACTCGGCAACCAGGCAAAAGTTTCTCCCCAGCCAGGCGCCGCCTGGAATCTGGGAGCTGGGAAAGAGGAGGGGGAAAAATTTGGAGAAACCTCTAGACCCCCCCCCCACCCTCTCCGTCCCCGCCTTGGCCACACTCCTTCAACCAGGGGCAGCTAGACTAGAAGATAAGGGTACGGACTGCAGCCAAGTGAAGACACTTCCTCACTCTCCCCCACAAAACTTTGAGGTTCCGCCTCCCCTTCTTCCTATGGGAACACTCTTACTTCTCTTTTACGGAGGCTTCCCTCCTCCCACTGCCCCATGCTTGGGTGGGGTAGGGAGGTGGGAGATGGTGTGCGTTTGTGTGTACAGAAGGGACTTCACTCCTCCCCTCCAGGGTAATAAAACTTTCTTTTTCTTCCTTTTTTGTGTCTGTCCAGTAAATCCCAATTACAACGGAGGGGAGCCAAAGCGCTCCCGGACAGCTTACACCCGCCAGCAAGTCTTGGAGCTGGAGAAGGAGTTTCACTATAACCGCTACCTGACCCGGAGGCGGAGGGTGGAAATCGCTCACTCCCTCTGTCTCTCTGAGCGCCAGATAAAGATCTGGTTCCAGAATCGCCGGATGAAATGGAAAAAAGACCACAAATTACCCAACACGAAGATCCGATCAACCACGTCGGGGTCGTCTGGAGGGGCCCAAAGTCGAGCCAATGCAACCCCCACCTCACTATAACGCTCCTTAAGGGGAGACCTTGGATTTATGGGGGTGGGAGTGGAGATTGGTGGGAGGGTGAGGGGGGAGGAGAAAAAGTGGGAGGGCAGTGGTGCTTAAGACCAGGAAATTTTGTCTCTGCAGAAAAAAAAATAATAATAATAAAGAGAGAGAAGAAGGGGGGAGGGGAATCTTATTTATAGCAAGAACAGAAGAGGGGGCAGAAGTGGCCCCCAGAAGCACAGAGTTCGTGGCTCTTGTTTTCTTCCTTTTTTTCTTTTTTTGAGAAAAAAAAAAAGAGGTGGAGAAGAATGCTACAGATACTAGTTTTCAGATTTGGCGAAGATGGATCCATGTTTCATCTTTAATCACGCCAACCTCAGGCCCATTTGTCATGCTCAGTCTGCCGGAGAGAGGACGGACTCTCTGCCTGCCATTACCTCGACAACCAGCGCTCCCGCTAACAAATGAGGCTCTCTTTCTTGAAGACGGACTGGATTTTCTGCCCCCCCCCCCCACATCCCATCCCAGGCATCCAAAGAAAGCATATCCAGACAACCAGATAGAGCAGGGGGTTTTTGTTTGTTTGTTTGTTTTTTGGTTGTTGGTTTTTGTTGTTGTTGTTGTTGTTTTTTGCGACGGTTAAAGAAAAAAAAATTCTGACTCACTTAGAGCCCCCACCCCCACCCCAGCTACTATTGCTCAGTATGATGTCTGGTAACTCTCCTTCCTACATGTTGCATAGGATGTGATCTTAGAGTGTTGAAGGGAGAAAGGAAAGAGAGGGAATGAAAAGGCCAGGGATGAGGGTAAGGGTGAGTGACACCATTGCACCAATAAGGGAAATTGAGGCTGAGGCGGGGAAGGAGACTAAGAGAATGTAAAGTGTGTTTGCAACCCCTGCTAAAGGAAGGTACTGGCAGGTTAGTTACCTTGCTTGCGAATGCTAGGAACCTGTTCAGCTTAGTAACATTGCCCTAAGACACAAGGACCCTGGAACTCTGATTTCTCTCTTTCTGAGAGGATCTTCCTGAGGCAGGGGCCTGCTCTTATGAACAGTCAGTCCGTTTTCCGACCGAGAATGTGACCCAGCAACCAGAACTCTGTGCCCCGGTCTGTTGGGAAGAAGGTGCTCTGGGCCTTCGGACTGTTTGTTGTCGTCTTCTCGTCGTTTTTTTTTTTTTTTTAAATTGTGATGATGATGATTAAGACTATGAACATTGTATTTTATTTTGTGTGCGTCCTCTTTGTGTTCTCTTCCTGACATTCCAAATCATTCCTGTTGCAAAACCAACTAGCTCCCTTCTGGAGCAGAAAGATACCTCTATGGCAGTCAGTGTGAAATTTCCCATGACGTGTTCATAGTGAAAATAGAAATAAATTTTGGTTCCCTTGTGACTAGCTTGGCTGTGTTTTTGTTAAAGCCTTGATGTAACTTTAAGGATACAGGTGATGTGACCTACGCTAGAAACTGCATGCTATGCATATTATTAGGGTAGGCCAAAGATTTTTCAAGATGCCTGATAAAAACAACCTTTCTAGTTCAGTTGAACCCAACTAACAGTAGTCAGCGTTTGTCGTTCTCTCTCTCTCTCTCTCTCTCTCTCTCTCTCTCTCTCTCTCTCTGTTCGTGTGCACTCCTGTTTTGTTTAGATTTTATTTCCTTATCCAGAAATTGGTCAGGAGGGCCAAGTCATCTCCCTAACTGGGGGGTGGTTAAAAAAGATAAATGGTACAGCACAAGAAATTTAAATCCTGCTAAGACTTTGATACCATTATTTATTTGTTCTAAGCACAGAGAATGCTGTTCTATGGACTCACTCCCAAAAATCTTCACTTTGGAGACTAAAGTTTCTAAGGTAGTGAGACAGTTCCCCCAAAGAGGCAAGATTCCCTTCCTCCGACTTGGGAAGGTACCTCTCTGGTACTATTCTCCTCCGAGGTGTTTAACGCCTTAATGAGTCTAATTTTTTGCACAGATGTTTCTCGGTGTTTGCAGGTTTTCGGAGGATTTTTATATTACAAAGGAGCCGGCCGGTGCCATAGCTCAAACTCTGACAAGCAAATAGATAATCAAGAAGACGAATGGCCTCTTTTGTGAAGCTCCCCTCTTGTATTAATTTTCATTTTCTTTCTCATAGAAAGTATTGAAACAGAGACTGGGGGACCAAATAGCATTGGGGCTCTGAGGGTCAGCTTGCCCCCAGACTGTGTGTGTGTTTTTTGAGGGGGGAGCTATGGAAAAGGAGGACAACAATTGATTCTCTAGTGTAATGTCCGAGAACACAGCCTTGACTTATGGAGGGCGTTAATTCCTATAGTCAGTCCTTACTATGACCTCCCAGTCCTTACTATAGCTAAGGTCGCCTACCATTCCCAAAGACGAAGTTAGCTATTTCAAATACAGTTGTTACTTTATAGCATCTTCTTTAGTTGAATAAAAAGCCCCTAACTTCCTCCCCTGGTGTGGTGTGTATAACTGAATCATCTGGAACCCTGGGGTTTGGGAGTCGTTGGACAAGAGGGCCCACTAGAGTCAGCCAGGCTTGGGAGGTAGGGAGAGGGGTTCAGGGGCCCACGTTTGGTGGCCTAGGGGACTGAATGTTCGAACTGGCCTGGCTCTCTCTGGCCAGTGGAATGCTGCACTGAGACAAAAAAGAAAACTTGTCTCCTTGCTGAGGATGAGAGGGAGAGGCTTTCTTTCAGCTAGAAACGAAATGCTGGGTTTAGATGCTTGGAGATGCAGCCCTTAATGCTAAAAAAAAAAAATAGTTCTTAAAAAGCATATGCCCCCCAGGAACGCTCCTCTATAGAAGCAAATCAAAGCTGTCCCCTGGAAGGTATGAATAGAATCGTAGGGGGAAAAAGGATTTCTATGGGACCTAAAGTTCACAGCCATTCTGTGTAGACAAGAGCTAAGAAAAATGCGAGAATTATACAGAAAACCATTAATCACTTCTTTTCTTTAAATACGTATCCTCTCTCCTTTGTTATTATTCCACAGCAAATCTCTGCAGACCGTCTGTTGGGGGAAAAAAGTGTTAGCCGCCTCTCCAGGATCTGCGAGGGGGAAAAAATTTGGAACCATAAAGTTGAAAACTTTTTTCTCTCAGTTTGGAAGAAGGTGGTCAGCATGAATGGGACCCGTGGAGCCCAAGCGAGAGGAGAAGAGAGACCCAAAGGTAACAATGCGGTGTCTTCAGCTCGCGGGTTTCTGATGGTTTTATGAGCCCTTCTAACAAACCAGTTGAAATAAGAATCTCTCTCCTACTTCTCCTCCTCTTTTTTTTTTAAAGTTTCTGAGCTGTATTTTTTTTTTTTAAATGGTGTTGGCTTAGTACAGCTTGGTTTCTTTTACTTTGACGGATACTTTGGGGAGGGCAAAACTTGACAACTGGAGATTGTTTGAACAGACTGGGGACTGAGGTGTCAGGACCCCTGAAAAATCAGAGAGAGAGAGAGAGAGAGAGAGAGAATGAGGGAGAGAGAGAAAGTTGTATGAGGTGGTTTCAGTGATTTCTGGTGTTATGGTTTTCAAGCTTGGCTCAGAAAATACATTTATGCATGTGTATATGATATATACGTATATATATATTTTCTTACACAGAGGCATAAGCATGTCCACACAGAGGCATGTGTATCTATGTGAATTTTTCCTTTGTTTACCCTTTAAAAACAGAAATCTTAGCTGTTCTGTCACTGATTCCTTAATATGGATCTGAGTCATAATGTTAATTTACTGATTTCTCTACTTTGTGTGTATGTGTGTGTGTTTTGGTATTTAAATAAACTGTGTTTATCTCTAGAAAAAAGAAACTGATTAGTTCACAGGAGAGGCTGTTATTCGACTGTTGAATACCACCCCTCCTTTCTTTCTTGAACAAAAAAAAAAGGAAAGGAAAAGAAAAAAGCATTTATTAAGTTCTAAGGATACAAACACACACACAAAAAATAAAGACAGTCCCTGTCCTCAAGAAGCTTACATTCCAAAAGGATTCTCATCCCACCTTTCCCTTCTCTTCTTCTCTTTCTAGGCCTTCTTCTTCTTTTTTTTTTTTTGGAGGTTCAAAGTTATTTTGGGGGCCAAGGCTCTGGGAAGCGAGAAACAAATAAGTTTGCTAGTCAAAATTTGGGGCTGCTTTATCAGTTTGTATAGATGAAGAAAAAGAGAGGAGAAGGAGGGAGGGAGGGGGAGAGAGAGAAAGAGAGTTCATGGAGAGGCCACATTTTCTAGGCGATTAGCTCAGTATTATAACCAGAGAATGACCTCGGAAGCCCCTTGACCTCTCCAAGACTGGACATTGTGCTGTGTAACATCTCCAATCCAGGACAGGGAGGAATGGAGGGAGATTCACCCCTCCAGATGGAGAGAGGAGGCTTCTGTTGGAGTATAGAATAGCTTTCCCTACCATTGCTACCTCCCATCTTCATTTCTACTATTTAAAAAATCCTCTAGTGTTATCCCTTGGCTATTTTTCTTCACTGAGGAAAGTGGTTAAAATGATTTTTAGCTGGAGGGGTACAAGTGAAAGAAGGGAGAAAGAAGAGTCTGTTCATATTCCTTCACTATATCTTTTTGCCTTAGCATCTCTGCTCCAGAGGGTTTGTCTCTTGCCCTCCACTCACTCCCCCCCCCCCCCATTTTCCCTGTGCTTTGCATGAAAGAAGAGCTGGGAGGAAAGACAAAGACAAAGGGAGGAGAAATGGGGAGAGAGGCAGGCAGGCCTCATAGGGCCAAGGGATAAGGAACACCTGGGTTCCTGTCCTGATCACAATATTGCAGGTCTTTCTCACAGCACACAACACATTTTCAGAAATTCTTTTGTTCAGAAGCTATGCCCTTTTTTGCCCATAGGCCTTTGCCTTCTCTGCATCTTCTCCTTTCATAAACATCACCCTACACACAATTAACATCTCCTGATTCCTTACCCAGGGAAGCTTTGGGGGGAAGTTAGGAAGTGGAGGCCTTCTTTCTGTGGCAAGTTGTTCTAGATAGGTCCTCAGACCAGATAAAGAGTCTTTTAAAAGAGAAGCCATAGATTACCAGAAAATAACCAAGCCTTAG